CAACACAAGAAAGAAAGAAAGAAAGAAAGAAAGAAAGAAAGAAAGAAAGAAAGAAAGAAAGGAAGGAAGGAAGGAAGGAAGGAAGGAAGGAAGGAAGGAAGGAAGGAAGGAAGAAAGAAAGAAAGAAAGAAAGAAAGAAAGAAAGAAAGAAAGAAGAAACCCAATACAAAATGGGCAGAAGACATGAACAGACACTTCTCCAAAGAAGACATCCAGATGGCCAACAGACACATGAAAAGATGCTCAACATCACTCATCAGGGAAATGCAGATCAAAACCACAATGAGAGATCGCCTCATACCTGTCAGAATGGCTGATATCAAAAACACAAGAAACCACAAATATTGTTGAGGATGTGGAGAAATGGGAAGTCTGCTGCACTGCTGGTGGGCATGCAAACTGGTACAGCCACTGTGGAAGACAGTATGGAGTTTCCTCAAAAAAGTAAAAATTGAATTACCATATGATCCAGTAATCCCACTACTGGGTATTTACCCAAAGAATATGAAAACGCTAATTTACTAATTTGAAAAGATATAGGCACCTCTATGTTTATTGCAGCATTATTTACAATGGCCAAATTATGGAAGCAGCCCAAGTATTCACTGATAGATGAATGGATACACAAGAGTGTGTGAGTGTGTGTGTGTGTGTGTGTGTGTGTGTGTGTGTGTGTGTACACGTCTACACAATGGAATATTACACATCCATAAAAAAGAATGAAATCTTGGGGCGCCTGGGTGGCTCGGTCGGTTAAGCGACCGGCTTCGGCTCAGGTCATGATCTCGCGGTCTGTGGGTTTGAGCCCCACGTTGGGCTCCGTGCTGACAGCTCGGAGCCTGGAGCTGGCATCGGATTCTGTGTCTCCCTCTCTCTCTGACCCTCCCCCATTCATGTTCTGTCTCTCTCTGTCTCAAAAATAAATAAACATTAAAAAAATTTAAAAAAAAAGAATGAAATCTTCCCATTTGCAACAATACAGGTGGATTCAGAGGATATAATGCTAAGTGAAACCAGTCAGGTAGAGAAAGTCCAATACCACGTGATTTTACTCATATGTGGAATTAAAACAAAACAAAACAAATGAACAAAGAAAAAAGAGACAAACCAGAAAACGGACTCTTAACTATAGAGAACAAACTGATGGTCACCAGAGGGGAGATGGGTGAAATAGGTGAAGGGTACACGTATGCACCTGAAACTAATATAAGGCTGCATGTTAACTACACTGGAATTAAAACAGAACACCCAACAAGACACATCGATGAGCTAAACCTGGCCCCCGCAGTCAGGGATCCAGGACCTCCCGCTGGCCATACCTACTTCTTTAAAAAAATGTTTAATGTTTATTTATTTTTGAGACAGAGAGACAGACAGAGAGACAGAGAGACAGAGTGTGAGCGGGAGAGGGACAGAGAGAGACGGAGACACAGAATCCGAAGCAGCCTCCAGGTTCTGAACTGTCAGCACAGAGCCCGACATGGGGCTCAAACCCACGAACTGCAAGACCGTGACCTGAGCCGGAGTGGGACACTTAACCTGCTGAGCCACCCAGGTGCCCCTGGCCACACCTATTTCTATTCATCACTGTATTTCTACCCTTATCTTGAATTCCAGCATAATTTTTTCAAGTCATAACTAATAAATCCTCTCCTACATGCCCCTATTTTCTCCGGGTTGCTTTTTTTTTTTTTCTTTTCCAGTTTGAAACATACTTTGAACGTGACCAAAGTGAGAAAAACAAAATGTGAAGGGTTCATATTCATTTTCTTAATATAATTATGTATTGATACAGTAACACAAAGTTAATTTTCTATCTAAAATTCATCTCTTTAATCAAAAACCTAAATAAAATAATTGTCTATGAAAATATTTCTAAGATACATTAAGACTTTCCTGTCTTCTTTAAAAGAGTGTGTTGAACATCACTTGGTCTTTTCTTGATACTAATGGTCAAAATTCTGGATAGAAATTGATCTATAATAGAGAAGATGCTGTCAGGAGCTATTACGGTTTTGTATCTTTCATTTGTTAAAGTAACATCCGCTGTCACCAGAAGTATAGGATATGGTTTTGAACACAAGGGCAGAGCCCCTCTCATCCTTTTCTGGCTTTTGTGAACCTCCTGGATTTTTGTTGTTGTTTTATTTTGTTTTTTACTTTATAGTTATCCTAATTTTGTATGATGGAGATGAGATTCTAACTTTGAATTTTAAAGCTCCTTTTTTGGGGGGTGGGGGGGGGCACCTGGGTGGCTCAGTCCATTAAGCAACCGGCTCTTGGTTTCAGCTCGGGTCATATTTTCATGGTTCATGAGTTCAAGCCCCACACTGGGCTCCATGCTAACACCACAGAGCCTGCTTGAGATTCTCTCTCTCCTTCTCTGCTGCTCGTATGCTCTGGGTCTCTCTCTCTCTCAAAATAAAATAAATAAACTTAAAGACTTTTAAACTTTTTTTTATAGTCCCCAGTTCCAACTCACAAAGTGCAAATTATCTCCAAAACTTTCCTTCTGTACGAGGTAAACTGAAATCTTCAGTCCTTCCGATTCACAATCACTGGGAATTCTTTTGTTAAAAACTATGCTATCTCCATATACAACTTCTGTATCTTAAAAATTAGCTCTAAAATATGCATTTCAAATACTCTACACGGTTCTTACAGAATCAAAAATTGAGATCCACAGCCGTCTTTTCCCTAAAACTGGGGTTCTCAAACATGGCAAAATGTTTGCAAAATGTGGGCTACTTCAAACAAACAAACAAACATGCCTGAGCCCAAGCCCAGGATCAAAATCTGAACCTCTGGAAGGTAGAACCTGTGCATTTGTGTTTATTTCATTTAGTTATTAGCTTTTTACTTTTCATGGTGTGCTTATTGTAGATTTCCTATGCTGTTTGTAAGAAATAGCAGAGAGAGAGAGATCCTATGTACCCTTCAGTCAGTTTCCCCCATGGTAGCATCTTGCATAATTAAAGCACAAAAGCACAATCAGGAAATTGACATCAATATAATCCTACAGAGTTTTTAAAACTAGGTCTCCTTAAAAGGAAACTCTTCTCTTTTTTTCTTTGCTGATGCTTAGCTCTACTGAAGCGGCATATCCCCCTCCTTAATGTGCTAGCTTTAAAAAAAAAAAAAA